CACAAGGCTAACCTCTGTCCCATGGAGAAGTCCATGGCTCAGGGAGACTTTTAGTTTCCATGCAATGTTTTTTTGGCCCTATAGCATGATTTCTTTAGACTTATGAGATAGAACTTTTTCAATGTTTTTTTTTCCAGCGCTAGAGATCTAACTTGAAGGAGGATGTACTCAAATTTCCCTTGTGCACTCATTGAGAACAAAGTTTAGTTTTTGATGAATCTAAGGATGAATTAAGATGAATCCTGCCCTTGAAGGAACTTGTATTCTAGACATTGTCAAAAATAATTAGAATATAAACTATAAAGTGAAAAGTATCTTAAAATATTTACAGTTCAAGGACACTGAGAGTTTGGAGAAAAAAATATTTTTAGCAACAGTGGATTTCATAATAATTTTTATAAAGTAGTATAAGAAGTTCTGGAGTGACCTTTTAGAAATTCCAAACAGAAGTCACAGATACTTCTTCTGACGAGAAAAAGAAAGCAGATAAGCAAATACACACCTGCATGCTTCAAATATTGGTGCATCTGCTCCAAAGCTCTAAAACTAATTAGCAATTTTGTTTCATGACTGAAATTAGCCTTTAAAAAGATGGGCATCCATTAACACAGTTTGGTAGCATAATGACAAGCAATTAGTTATAATTGTTCTATTCTGGAAAGAGATAATAATTGAAAGTAGATGACTTCTAAAGGAATTGAAAAATAAGCCTGCTAAGTTAATTTTAAAATTTCAGTAGACAGAATCCATTTTAGGAACCTTCCTCTTTGGATGTATATAGGACTTGAAGAAAATAAAATTCCTTTTCTTGCTGTGGTTCTTTTTAGTTAGCTTTTCTCGACCCTTCCTCCATCCTCTTACCCCATAGAATCCTAGTTTAACTGTTTACATTTCCACTGTAATGTAAGAGAAAATATTATGGTACTTTCAAGATCCTGGAAACTGAGAAAAATTCCCTAAAGATGGAATTAACTATACTTATTTGAGAGATTCAAACAATTAGTTGAAAGCTGCAAAAGGCAGATATCAGCTCAATAAAAAGAAGAACATCTTAAAGATTAGGGTGGATCAAAAACAATTTTCTCAATGTTTCCAATCCCTCTATTTGTTCAAATGTGAACTGGAAAATCCTTTATTGTCTGATGCAGAGTTGATGCAAGTGTTCACCGGATGCTAGTGAGGAATTGGACTAATTGATATGTAAGGTTTCTTCACGCACTGAATGATCTTCTGTGACTGAAATTATTTTCTAACAAAGGAGTTATTTGCATTGTGCCCCCTCTCAGAAAGTTCTAGTACCTACACAAATTAATCCCTGCCGCTGTTTTGAACTGAGCCCTCCAGATAATCATGAACCTGCACACATATGCCATTCAGGGGAAGAATGAAATTGGGACACAAAATTAGATGTGAGATGCTAAGTGGCATTAGGACATTCCTTTTATGCCTATTACCTCCACTGGATTGGAGAAGAACTGAATATTTCAGAAGGAAGGATGTACCTAAAAGTTTTAGAATGGAAGCTAGGTGTGGTTCTGTTGAGTCAAATAGAATATGGCCAGAAGTTAGCCATCTTTGGCGTCTATGGACAAAATTCCCACAAGTGTAGCTCTATTGTTGATAGAAAATCCCTGAATATTTCTCAACACAGTGTATCTGCCAGTATGTTTAGGCCGTGGGAGAGAGTGGCACAGATCTCTGGGTGTTAGGGAAGATGCAGGGAAGTATTACACAGGTCGAGTGAGCAGATTTATTTGAAATAATAGAAATATCGTTGGTGGACATGTCACCACTGAAAACTACTAGAGCTGCTACCACTGCAATGAGTAGATAGACCCAATCTTAGGTTTAATGTTATTCAGCTCATTGGCCTTCCTCCAATCAGTTTCCCTCTGACATAGGTAGGCATCACCAACTTAAGTCAATGCTCTCTGGGCACACTGCTCATAGAACCTGTACCTCTTAAGATCAGAACATCAGATTTCAACCCAACACAGGCTGTCTCTTAGGAATACTGTGATATATATCTTGAGACCCTTGCTTACCACTAGCTCTAGCTATTCTTCCTTATAGCTATCCAGCACCCAGGACCTCTTATCTTCCATGTTTGAAACCCATGATTTTCCTTGCAGTTAGAATGTTTTTGCCTACAGGTAGCAGACAACTCAGTTCAAACTAGCTTAAGCAATAAAACAATTTTTTGGCTGTCATTACTCCCAATTTCTCATGCCCTCATAACTTGTGTCTATTTCCAACACTGGTTGCCCTAAAGTTTTTAATACATTTCACCTAAACTATTGCGGTTGTATCCTACCTGGTAATTCTACCACCCCATTCATGGTTCCCTATAATAGGTATTCATCCATCTACTCAACATTTTGTGTGCCCACCATGCTATTTTGGGGGGAAAACACATAATTGAATAGGTTAAATTGCAGTCCCTAAATTTAAGGAGCTCTCTTAGTTGGGAAAGGCTAGGCTGTGGCACAGCATCCAATGGAATCTCAGAGGTTGATGACATAGGTCCACTCTCTCTTGCTGTGCATACTCCGTAGGATGACTGTAGCTCTGCCCCATGTCACATTCACCACAGGACCTATGTGATGGAGCAGACTCTACCTGGAATTTGCCTGCTCGTGTATCACAAGGAAAGAAAGTGTGACAAAGCACAAACTGGTTCTCAAAATTTCTACCTACAAGTGACCTATATGGTGTTCACTTATATTTCACTGGCCAAATCACGTTGCTTGGCACATCTGGTTTCCAGGAGTGGGGGAAGTATACACCTCTTCGAGGGAGGACGAGTAAAGCAATCGATCACACAACCTTAAAATTTAGAGCAGGGGTCAGCAAACTATTTTTGTAAATAAAGTTTTATTGGGACACAGTCACACTCATTCATTTACATATGGTCTATGGCTGTTTTTGCACTATAATGACAGAGTTGAGTGCTTATGACAGAGACCATCTGGCTGACAAAGCCTGAAATATTTCCTCTCTGATCCTTTACAAAGAATGTTTTTCTACCCTGATTTAGAGAGGCAGAAGGATACATGCATAAACATCTAAAATGAAATGTGCCCCACTTTCTTACTTATTTCATTATTGAAGCCCTCTTTTGGAAGCAAAGTATAAAGTGTTTTTTAAAAATCAACTTTCAGGCATTATTAAGAAAACATATCATAAGACCGACATTAAGAAAAAAAGTACTGTGGAACTGCAGAGGAAACATCTGATTGAGAAGATGAGGGAAGATGTTTGGAGGAAACAGTATTTGAAGTGAACATTGAAAGGAAGAAAGATTTTCTCAGGAGTGCCTTCAAGGGTAAAGTATTGCAGAAAGAAAGAAAAACTTGAACAAAGAAAGTTTAGAGTATGTTCAAGGAATGGTGAATACTTGATTATGACTAAGTGCTAGAATTTTTGATGAATTATGGGAGATGAAGCTGTCCCTGGGAACACAAAAATGCCATCTCGAATTTTTAAATTAGAACTAGATCATTAGAAGATGCAGCAAGGGAGTTGAAAGGTGTTCAGGCTTTGAATCTTGGCTTTGCTGTGTACCTATCTTGTGTAACCTTAAGAAACTTATTTCACTTCTTTGAGCCTCAGAGATCCCTGCCTATGAAAAGAGGATAATTGGAATTTCACAGTTTTTTGAGGATTTAAACAATGGATGTATAGTGTCTGTCCTGTGCCTGATACACCATAGATACTCAAAAATTGTACCTATTATTATTCATATTACTCTTTTTAAGCCATTGTCAATCTACTTCTTTGACTTTTGAAGCCAGGCCAATTCCTAACTGACATACACATTCTGGTCTTTGTGCCTTTTTTCATGTTGACATGCTGACTGGAAGAACCTGCTACCTGTGGGAGTCTACTATTCTTCAGTATCCATCTCAAATGATGTTCTTTCTATAAAAGTCTCAAAGTGGCTTTCCATAATTTAAAATTAAATCTCTTCCTCCCACTTCCTCCCATAAAAGCTATTAGTAACCTATTTCATTGTATTTTAGGTGTGTGTGCTGTCCTCTTCACTCATTCATAAGATTCTTGAGGGAAAAGGCTGTATCTTGGTCTTGTTAGAACCTTCGTAATGTAATTTTACAAGCAGCGTTCACTCATGGCAGAATGATCTAGAAAATATTTTATTTATTTCATGCTAGGATCCCTAGTTAATCCATGAACCATTTGGGAAAACCTTAGGTCTGCAACTAAGATGAGCTTTATAAATAAGGAAAATATAAGGTCATAAGTTGATCTAGTTGTTGACCTTTCTCTAAGTTTTGAAAACAATTAAATTGAATTGTGTTTTTTTTCATTGACATTTACAGAAGGCAGTTTTAGAATCACATTTATGAAATTCTCTGAACAAGAAGCTGTACCATTATTGTTTATTTTCTAAGTATTTAATGAACAGCATGTGGCCCAGGACCTTCACAAATTTTTATTGTGTGAAAGTCACTAAGGAGTGACAACATTTAAAATGAAGACTCCAATACATGTGGTTTAAAATAACACACTCCCTTTTCCTCTTGATGGGTTCAGATATTTAAAGTAGTATTCTCAAAGCAGGGGGCTCACAGCCTGAGGGTGGACCAGCTGAGTCCCTGGAGTGTGGAGGGGAACCTTAGAGTCCTTATTCATGTTAAATTTTTATCCTATCACTTAAAGATCTCTAGTTTCGGGGCCAGCTCCATGGCCGAGTGGCTAAGTTCCAGCGCTCCACTGTGGCGGCCCAGGGTTTGGATCCTGGGCGGGGACATGGCACCGCTCGTCGGGCCACGTTGAGGTGGCATCCCACATCCCACAACCAGAAGGACCTGCAACTAAGATATACAACTGTGTACGGGGGGGGTTTGGGGAGATAAAGCAGGAAAAAAAAAAAGATTGGCAACAGTTCCTAGCCCAGGTGCCAATCTTTAAAAAAAAAAAAAAAGATCTTCACTTTCTAATGTTTTAAAATATACTTTATATATTTATCTTGTATTTTACCTATACAATTTCTGAATAAAAACTAATAGTTATATGTGTGTGCTGAAAGTTTATTTACTGATAGGAGTATAGAATTTTAAAAAACTGGAGATCACTGGTTTAAAGGAAAGCAATGTATATAAACATCGATAGAATAAGGAGCAATACTTAGTCATGCATTTCTTGTGTTTATTAGCTTTTAGAGACAATGGTGGTTACTTTCTCTCTATATAGATTGCATTAAGATAAAATACACATTTTTGAAAAAATACTGGTTTCTGGTGGTGAAGAATCTTCAGGTAGTTTCAGGATCCCATCCAGCATTTTTAAGTTTGGCAAACAGGAGAACACTCTAAAATAAAAATGAAAAAAAAAGTAACTATATTAAACAAAAGCATTGTATTTCACTTACTCTCTTTATAAATGAGTGGACTTTGCCTATTGTTAAAAGAAATATGAGTGGCTCTTAGTTTCTCCTGTTTTCTTTATCTTTGCAATGGGATTGCAATAAAATACTATTTATGTTCATTGAGCTGATGACCCTGACGTAGCCTGGCCTTGCAGGGAGCTACCAGATGGCTCAGCAGATTGTAAGCATTGATCAGAGAAGTGGGATCGCATACAGTCTGTTTTTATAATAGAATTTCATTCCAGTTTTTACAAAGTCCTATAAAGGAAAAAAAAAATCAATGAGTGGATTTAGCCAACTAACTATGAGGGAAAGAAGGAGATCATGATATATGTGCACATTATAAAGTTAAAAGCTTAAAAAAAAAAAAAAGAAAAAGTAAAGCAAGCCCATGTTGTTTAGCGATAGTTAAGGAAGAATTTTGACTGAGGAGTGCAAGAAAGCGGTGGAAAATAATATCATTCTGAGTTATTTTCTCTTGACAGAGAGCATTTTTGAAGCTCACATTTCAAATTCAGACAGTCACTTCCAGGTTCTGGAGGCGTCCTTCATGTCAGCCCAGTCAAACAGTGTCATACACCTAGCAGTGTGACAAAGCAGCATTTTCTTTCGAGTGGACAGTTTTTCTAGGTCTGGGAATTCTGGGGGCTCAGGCCAGAGGAAATGGATGGCACTAGGATTTGCCCAGGATGGAAGATACTGGAACCTCTCAGCAGACATGCCAAGTCAACTAATGATGGTGCTGACCTCCTTGAAAGCTCTCATTGGCTGCCTGACTTTCTTAGTGCTAAGTGCTGTCTGCACGTTATCTCATTTAATCCTCACAATAGCTCTGTCAAGTTGGTTTTTATCCCCCATTTTAAGTAACTTATCCAAGATCTTAAAGCCCGTAGGTGACAGAACAAAGATTAAATCTAAGTCTTCTGGCCCCAATGTTCAGACTTAGCTGGCAGGAACTCCTAGCCATTACGTCTTTTCATAAAGTCAAACTATGGTGAATTAAGATCACACTGACTTCTGGAGAACTGTAGAAGGGTTTGCCTGTGTGTCCCAGGAAGTGGGTGGGGCTGCCCTCTACCTCCTGGGACTTACACTATTAGCTCTGTCATTAAGAACTTTCTCTTTGGAACTGTGCTGCCTTCTCATTGGAGGATCCGAAACAAGGGAGGAAGGGAGAGACAGTCACAATTCTAGGGGACAATCATCAGGACAAATCTTACACCCGAAAATTCTGATCACGATGTAAAGGGTTGCAGAAGCTCTGGACCAAATCCTCAACAGAAAGTCACCCCGGGACAAAATGGAAGCTGTTATAATCCTTACAGTGTGGACTTTCGGCTAGGTAACCGAACCCAAATTTGGACGAATTTGAGGCTTCAGCTTAGTTCCTCAGCAGGAGTGGATGTTTAAATCCTTTCCTTATAGTTTAAAATGACCACATCTTTTTGTAAAGTAACCCTGGACTACCTAAGTCAATACTACCTGGCTTTTTATAGCTTGAATGTCAGTATGTATCAACCTTGGACTCAACCCAATAGAATTAATACTACAAAAATAGAAGAACCTCATTATATCCTTCATTCCCACATAATTCTATACCACATCATGAATTTTGAAGACAGATTTATAGTGAGACCTCAGGGCATATCAGATTTCAGACAATTAATCTTACTACTATTGTTGTAAGGCATTCTTTGAAGGGAGGCAAGTGACTGAGTTGGGACCGAAATGTTTTATAAATCCTGCATATAAATTAGCAAAACTGAAATACAATACTAATAAATTATCTTTATGACTAGAAATGCGCTTTTTTTAATGAATGATGTTGAAATGTCCAGCTAAACCTCCTCTGACTGCAGGAAATATAATTTTAAACTTGAAAACATTACTGTGGTTAAATATTAGTTCAATATTAAAGCAACTGTGCTGGTGGATTTCAATGTTATGTAAAAGCAATTTGAGAATTTATTATTACAGAACATGAAGTTTTGCTTTCAGACTATAGTCACGGGGGAGCAAGTGCAATAATGAGATTTATGGAGGAACAACAGAGATTAGAATTTTTATTTTGACAATTTTTCATTGTACATCAGCAGTCGAAGAGTCTAATGTCATCTAGGCCTCTGGAATATAGTTCCTGTCATGGGAAAACGGCAGTGTGAGAAAGGATGGTAGTGAGAACTCTGTCTTTTATTGAAATTGGATGTAGATGAAGGATTGTAATCCCACAACAGGAATGGAATCTAGAGACGATCTAAGCTTTCGTATGACAGATTCAAACTGATAGAGAAGATGACGTGGTCATTTGAATAAATGTAGGTTCTAGAACTCAATTGCTTGTTTGTACCCTTTTAATTCCCTTAAGTACAATAATAGTGGTGCTGGGAAGTTGGCTGGAATTCTATAGGTGGGCATATTACTTGATGCACACTCCAAGCTTGTTTAGATTCCATTATTATCATTAGGAATGTTCCCAGTAGTGACAAAGGAATAAAAATGGTTTATTCTTGGCGGGTTTTCAAGCTCTTTCAATCACTAGAGTAGACTGAATCAATTACTTCTTTGTATTCACTTAATGGTGCCCCTGTGGCCCAAAGGAGTGAAAATAAAACCAGAGAATAAACAATTTATAGCATCGTCACATGGACCTTGAAAGGAATTTGTATTTAGAAGTTTTTAAGAAGACATAATATATATTAAACATTATGAGAGAAAATGCATAGAATTAGAAGGCCTAAAATGAAACATTTTTGTATATGTCAAGTCACATTACAAGAGGAGCCTAAAATTTGTATAGCAATCACAAATTAAACAAGAGCAGAGCATATTAAAGATTTTTGTTTTTTTTTTTTGTTTTTGTTTTTTGTTTTTTGTTTTTTTTTTTTTTTGGAGGAAGATTAGCCCTCAGCTAACTACTGCCAGTCCTCCTCTTTTTGCTGAGGAAGCCTGGCTCTGAGCTAACATCCGTGCCCATCTTCCTCTAGTTTATACGTGGGACGCCTACCACAGCATGGCTGCCAAGCAGTGCCATGTCCGCACCCGGGATCCGAACCAGCGAACCCCGGGCCGCCGAGAAGCGGAACGTGCGAACTTAACCGCTGCGCCACCGGGCCGGCCCCCATATTAAAGATTTTTAAAAAGGCAAAATATCAGTTCAAAGTTCTTTAGGTGAGATCAGAAGCAGGAAATGTTCAACAAGTAGTAGATACTATATATATTTGCTGAGTGATCTTAGCAAGAGAGTAACAACTGCCAAAAGTATAATTTTCAATGAAGTACAAAAGGTGACTTCCGGCGTTTGGGGCCTTACCGTTTCCGGTAATGTTGGTGAAACTCACAAGGGTTCCTCTTGAGCACGAGGGATTCTAGCGGAGCGCCCCGTAAACGGGAGAGCCCGGTCAGAGTCTCAATGTAGTTTTCAGCCAACGATAAGTGCTGTATCTGAGGCATCTTTGGCAATTGCTTGAAGGATGTGAGATAGTTTTTGTTCATATTTAAAACTCTGCAGCTGGATACAAAATATAAACATCCTGTCATTTGTCTCCTAAAGAAGATGGTTAACTACCAAATCTTGCACGGGACAGCATGCCTCACCCAGATCATTACCCCTCAGAGGAGCGACGGTGTTTTCTTACAAATGCGGTTTGTAAGAAAAGAGAAATATTTGGATTAAAGTATTAAGAGAAAATAAGCAGGATATATGGGACTGTACGCTTGCTGAGTGCAGGAATCTCTTTTCTTTTCCAGTTTATAACCTGACTTGGCAAAGACTGGTCCGTGGTGCAGTCTCAGTCCATCCTGAAGGAAAGCGCGGACGGCTGCACATCATCTCAGCGACATAAAAGTTCACCACAGCCGCAGGGAACTTCTAAAGAGCATCGCCTCTAAGTAGTGAGATTATGGCTATTTTTCTCTCTTTCTACTTTTCTGTTCTTAAATTCTATATGAGAAAATAGCATCTTAAATCAGGAAAAAAGCCTTTTTTATATAAAAGAAAACTAAAAAGGTATCCTTAGGAGAAGTGCATGTTAGGCGTTTCGGTTAATACATTTTTCTGATAGATAATGCTTCTCAATAGTTTTGCCTTAAAACCGTAATTGCGTAAGTCTGTGCACATAGAGAAAATGATTCAAAATCTATGCCAACACCTTGCCTTAAGGAAAAATGCCTTTATGTAGAAGTTGGGATTTAATACCCTGAGAGAAACACAGGGTACTTATTTATGGGCCTCGTACCTCAAGAAGACACTTGGTAAATCATTACTGCTGATGGTAAAGATGGTGCTAAGCAGAGGAGACTGCCCCATGGCAGAATTAGAGAAACAAATTCAGTTTGAACCCACTCAGATTTCATTGTCAGTTTTTTCACATCTGTTATTTTCGTTTTCTTTGTTTCCTTCCACTCCCTCTCCATATGGATATTTTACACAGTCCTAATCATATCTTTTAAACCTTTTGCTTTCTACTCTTCCCAAGGTTCTACGTCATCTTTAGGAGCACTTTAATACTAGGACAATTTCTAATTGAGAACGCAGTCCAAGAGCTGCTGTCTCTCTGCCCCCATCTCCGTTCTCTGAAATTGGTTCTTTTCTCTTCTGAGGGTCGTTCTCTGTTTCAGTATCTATCCTGCCACACACTCAGCCTCTCAGACTCACCCCATTGCAGATCCCCAGTCAGCAGGATGATGGTAGGGGAAAAGATTGCAAACCAAGTGTGGTTTCTCCCTTGGGGCAGAGGGAAGGAGGCCATGGATATACATGCGTTAATTTATTTTTCTCCTTTGATACATTGATTTGGCAGTTGTAAAGTCTGAATTGCAATTGTATAATTTTATATTATATAGTCTATTTTTAAAGAAAGGCCAAAAGAACAGACAAACTGGGTTAAGTCTTTTCTTTAATGATTGTGGTTTTTTTCTTTTCTTTTCTTTTCTTTACATAGAATGCCAAAGATTTTGAAGTTTATTGACCTGGATCAAATCAAGTTCAGATACTCCAAGTAAACGAACTTCTAATTCAGTGTTTCTAAGGTATACTATGTGACTCTTAAAAAGTTTTATGTTGTATGTTTATTTTAATGTGTATTAGAAAAATACAACTAATGCATCACTATCGTATCCCCAGAAGAGAGTCTGGCTGAAAAACAAAAACAAAAACAAAAAATGGAATAAATCAACAGCAAAAGCTACTGGTATCTTATTTAAGGTAGTGATATTAAGCTTATTTTGAAAATTTTTATTTAGGTATTTTTAAATTTGTTGTTTAAAAAGAATGTAAATAAAATCAAATGTTATGTGAGTCTGTCTAAAGTTCCAAAGGGGCTTTGAAAGTGATGGAAAACTCCCAGACACATGGCCTATTCTGACACCACCCCGTCTGCCAGAGTGTTTCTCTCTCCTGTGCAGATGTGATGGTCTCTTTTTGCTGCCCTGTCTCAGTCCAGGCTCAGGGAGGTACATTATCCTGGTCTAGGCTCCACCCATCCTTCTTGTGGCTGCTCAATTTCCCTCATTTCCTAACTCTCTCCTGAGGATCTTTGCCCCTCTCATTGCTGCCGAAGCTCGCTCCACCTGCCCATTCTGCCTGGTGAAGCAGAAGGCAGCTCTCTACCAAAAGGATGCTCAAGCCCAGCCCTGATGGCCTGGTGGTTAAGGTTCAGCTCACTCTGCTTTGGTGGCCCGGGTTCATTTCCTGCTCACAGAACCATACCACTTGTCTGCCAGTTGCCATGTTGTGGTGGTGACTCACATAGAAGAACTAGAAAGACTTACAACCAGGATATACAACCATGCACTGGGACTTGGGGAGGAAAAGAAAAAAAAGAGGAAGATTGACAACAGATGTTAGCTTAAGGAAAATCATTCCATGCAGAAAAAAAAAGGGGCACTCGAGCAATCCTGAGCAAAGAGGCAGATTATCCTTAACATCAGGAGTTTGGGGTTCTTGGAGGACCAAGTTGTCCATATAATTTAAAAAATCTTTAGTTTGTTTCTGTCACTGCTCTGACTGGCAACCCCATCCCTCCGTTAGAATGTAACCCACCCTGAAACCAAGACTCTTGTCAACCACCCGTAGGGTCTTTCCCCATAGATGCTCAATAAATAAGACTGACTAAAAATCACTATCTTACAACGAGAATTTATATATAATTAAATTGCTTTTCCAATTTTACAATGCAAGGAACATGGCAAGCTTTTCTGCCAATATGATTCTATGATTACAAATTACTCCTCTAAAAATTGATAATAACAATGTTAATTTGGAAAAGAATAGAGTTTTTTCCCTCTAAAGTGTAACATATTGATGTATAAGTTTCCCTTTTTGCCTTGCCCAGGCATCATTTAACGCTTCCATCTTAACACCTGACTACACGAGGCAAGTCACAATAGGTACAGACAATGGTCACATGTACCCAAATAGTGAAGATTTGACTTTAACTTAGTAGCTGGACATGCTAGGGAACAGGTACCTTGGCAGTCTTATGGCACTTAAATCCACCAGTGAATTATCCACTAACCAAAGGGTTTCCACTCGAATTAGTCTTCTAAGAATCCTATTAAAATTTGCAAGTTGATAAGGGTCCCCCAAATCCTGAAATGAAAGGTTCAAATTCTGAAGGGAAAAACAAATAAAAAGAAAAAGCAAGTTCTTTGTCAACTTTTTAAAATACTTATTAATTAAAAATGTGTTGTATATGTTATTTAAACCAGTAGTTCTCACCTTTTTATTTTGGTCCTCTAAAATAGTCACACATCCAAACGCAATGATGTGATAGAGATTCTCAAGGTGGGGGGGGGGGGGTGAAGATCCCGGCAGCATCCTGATTAGAATTGTGTGCAAGGTTTGGGGAGGGGGTCGTGGAGGGGCCAGGCTCCTCAAACAGATTTTGAAATTCTCTAGTTGGAGAGCGAGGGGCTAAAGCTTTGTTTGGGATTTACTGATTTAAATGATTAGTTTATCCTTACCCTCCTTGAAAATATTCAGAAATCACATTTATAAAAATTTCAGAGGAAGATATCATCATTTGAAAGATAAAAATTATGATTTTGTTTTAAAGTAATTAGGGATTCATACCTAAAAAGGGCTGATATATTCAAAGATAGTGGCTATTTTATTTTCACTTTTAACATCAGTCAACTTTGATGTAAAGGAAATTAAAACCACTCTCGGTGGTAGCATTGCTCTTGTAAACTCTGTTCCTGGAAGTTAACTTTTCTATTTCCACAATTTTACCATCAATTTCCGTCAATAAAAATTATCGAATAAAATGACAATCCCCTCTTTGAAAATGCGAAGCAAAATAATTTACTCTTTTTAAGGAAATATGATGTCTCTATCTTTAAAAAAGATAAAGTCTGAATATTTTTAGACATTAAACATTATAAAATTTGATACTTTAAGTTCCCCTTTCCAAAAGTCTAAAAGGTCTTAATTTTGAAATAAAACTTAAGAAATGATAAAAGAGTATGTATATCATTTCTCTATTAAATGCCATCTCCTCAGAGAGGTTATTTTTGACCACTATTTCCCAGTTTTCTATGATAGTTCGGAGTTTCCTTAGCTATTCTCTTAGAGTATAGTTACCTTAAGGCTAATTATATTTTCTAAGAAAATTTGTTAGCAGGGCTGCATTGGCCTTCACAATATATCCGCAGTTTAAATGGCAGCTATAAAGAGTGAATGCACACATACACTGAAATGGTTACCTCTACAGAGAGTTCTGGGAGGGGAGGTCAAAGATCTAGGTATAAATAAATAAATAGGTGTATGGTTTAAATTTTTAAGAGTAGAATGTATTCATCCATTATATATGAATAATTTAAAATTAATTTAAAAAAGGAAAGAAAATATTGTGCAGGGAAGTAATATTCTCCATTTTCATATTGTGTACCCTTGGGCAAATCGTGTCTCTTTCTGGACTTCCCTTCTCTTTTTGAAAGGAAGGGGTTTAGAGCAGACCATCTCTGAAACTCCTTCTCACCCCCTCATTCTATAATTCTGCGACACATTGGATCAATCTGTGGAGCAAAAGAGGCGTGAGGAGACCCTAACAACCAGGATTTAAATTCAGTCTAGTTTCTGGAAGCCTTCCTAAAATCTTCACACACACTTTGATCGCTTTGAAAACCAAAAATATTGGCATCCCACTCTGTTGTGAAGAAGTTGATGTATTCTTTTATGGCTACAACATTTATCCTTCCCAGTTCAGTCCTCTGTCTAAACGTGACTCGATCCAAAGCAGAATCAGAAGCCTGAGTGATCACAGCCCCGTAGCTTTGAAGTGGTCAGGCTGACTAATGGCAGGGGCAGTTTCAATGCTAGTGGCTTCCTCAGCTGCCTCCTTTTTAGCACCAAGAAATCACAGCTCATATCCTTCATCGGTGAGAAGTTTGATTTGTTCCAGGATAGCTCTGTTCGGACCAGGCTGGCTGCCTCAGCCGATCCAAACTTTTGGCTTGATGCATCGTTCGAGGGATTGCAGATTGCATCATAAACTCACGGATAAGGATTATTGCCCAAACTTTGATTTTTTTAATTATCAATAGGAACAACTTCACTCTCAACTATTTTAAACTTTTTCAAACAAAGTTCAGCAATATCAGGATAAAATAAAGCTTAGAAAATGAATAACATGTCATGATGACGAAGGAGTGAAAAAAGAGTGGAGAAGCCCAAACACCACTGGTTGTAGAGAAAACTCTGAAAAGATGCTCCAAGTTTCGATATTTATGCTAGTAATTGCCCGTAAACAAACAAACCAACAAAAAGAGGTGTCATAATTTAATTAATGAGAAAAATAGGTTTTTTTCTGTTTTTTTTAGCTCTCACCGTGCAGTCCTCCCAGTTTTCCTGTAGCCATGTTTCCCATTTGTTTTTGTCAAGGACTCTTTTCCGTGGAGGCAAGGGACACTTCTCCTGTTGGAGGAGTAACTCTTCCGCAGGGGGTCCTAGGCAAAAATCACAAGGCAGACCCTGGAGGTAGGTTTAGGGCAACAGGGCTGATGTTGTCACTTGATACTTGGCCGCTTGTTTTCAACTTCCGTTCCAATATTAAGATTGAGCAAAACATGATTTGACCCATATTACGGCCAAGTAGTGTGAGCAATAACAAAATGAGTTAACTTTTAACACTACGTAAATTATTTCTAGCCCAGGCAAGTGAGAAAAATCACCAGTATAGTGACTTTAATCTTCATATGATTTTCTCTTTGAGAATGTAAAGTCACTCTGACTTTCTTTCTCTTTTGTCTCTCAATTCAATTAACTACCTGGTCCTATAAGTTTTCCCCTTGAGAATCTTTCTCTTCCTTTTCAACATCCAGACCCTCGTATCTTCCTACCTGTAGGAAGTAAGTAACTCCCTTCTCTTGGCTCTCCTTGTTTGCAATCTTCTCTCCTTCCATATAAATAATACAAATTGCCATCCAGCCTTCCTAGAACACAGCTTTCACCATAGGACTCTCATGTTTAAAACATTTCAGAAACTTCTTATTGCCTACCAAATAAAGATGGAAAATCCTAGCATGTCAAGCAAGGTTTTCCACAATCTTATCCCAATCTCCATTTCCAAACTCATTTCCCACTATTTTCCAACCTGATTGTCCTCCAAATCAGGTTTGCACAAAACTTCCAGGGTTAGGGAAAGGATATCCTGTTTCCTGTCTGGAGCTGGGTGCTAGGTAATTGTGTGACTCCAGATGACTAATTTTAATTTTCTGAGCTTCAGTTTTCCACATCTGCAAAAATACAGGAACACTAGAATCAAGGGCCCAACATGAGCTCAATTTGATAAGAAAATATGTTTGTTCAAAGTTCATAATGCTTTGTAAAAAGACTCATTTCTGATACTTTTCTAATACTAAAACACTATCGTAGACCAAGATATGCTTTCATATTGCCATAGACCCCTACACTGTATTGTGTTCCCCAGGCAAGATTCACTGGGTTGTACTGTCAACCAGGCCCCTGACAGCAATCCTAAACTAAATGATTTCAATTCCCTCCCAACTCTAACACATTGTATTTCTATGAGTCATACCTGGTACTCTTTGTACACACTTTCCCTACTCTATTTTTCTGCAATGCATGATTCCCCTCATTTCGAAGGTGAAAAGAAAACAAGAGGATACTGAAGGCATCAGGAACCAACATTGCCTTTGTGGCAGGTTTGTCCGGGCTATAATGGGAGATAATGAGTCCATTTGTGAAGGACTTATGGAAGGCAACAAGAGAAAAAGTCCAACATCTCATTATTTTGACACAAACATCATTTCTTCCGTGAGGCACAGGTGGAAGCCAAGTTCCCTTTCAGGCGCTCCCCTCATAATGAACTGTACTGTTGCCACCCAGGCAATCACCTAACCCTGAGGGCGGAAGTATCCCAACCAATTTATGAACAACATCTTCATGTGCTAGGAAATTATCTTCTTCATTGATTAGGACGATTGGAGTTAAAAATCATAGAACTAGAAAAACTGGAACAACCAATATTCGACTGGGGAGACCGTAGGTTCTATCGTCTTTAATACCCCTCCCCCCAAATTTGGTAGCCTTCTTTGTGCAATAGATATCTGAGAGTTATTAAACTCTGCCCTGTATTGTTTGTGTGAGTTGTATCGATCTGCTCTTTCAATTACTTCTTTTTAAAGCAGCTTTCAAAGATTTCTTTAAAGTTAGAGGCCAAAGGTCCCTTCCACTGTGAGGAGTTGTATTAAAGGGGATTCTTTTTTTCACTCAGACCCCGTTGGTTATTGAAGATGTATCTTAGCTGCTGAGAACTACAGCTGGGCTCCCTGACAGCCCAGGATGTTGGCTTTGACCCACTATCTCCGAGCTTGTATTTTGTTCCCTCTCTGGATTTGTAACTCCTAACAGCAGTGATTGAACGAGTGTGCTGAGGGATTTTCAAACAGAAAGCTTCTATTGTTTAAAAGACTTCTACCACGAGTTTGCTCTCTTGCTTCGTTGAATTGGGAGGAGTTAAGTCAGTCTTGAGCTGGCCATCAAAGCCTCGGGAAATTGCTGTTTATCAAACACCAGATAACGTTTCTTTTCTCAGGAACTCTTTCTGGATGTACAACTGGGGCAACTGAGATCAGCTGAAGTAGTTTTGACGAGTGTTTCAGGAGCTAGTCTAGAAGGAGGGTAATTCTCATCAGAACGCTTTTGAAAAGCGCTTGTTCTCCATCTTACACAAAAAATACCTAAACAAAATTCAAGGCAATGAACAAGGGCTATCTATTTTTTTCATGGTTTGCAGTGATGGGATTTTCCAGTGTTTTCCTCCCCTAGATTGTGCTCCATTCCTTTTACGACTAGTCGCTTGAGAGAGATTGGGCATTGTTAATGATCTATGGAAGGAAAATGTGCCTTATCTCTGCAGAGCGATGATGTCCTCTGCATGAATGGGCCCTGTGCTCGGTCCGCAGGAGTGCTTTTGTTGAGCGATCACCTCAGCACACAACCTGGCCACTTAAATCAGGGAAGGAGGGAGGCCACTGGACCCTCTTTACACACGCTCATTTTCAGTTTACGCCTAATTTTATTCTTCTGTCATCCCCTCCAATTTTTTCAGTTTAGCAATTCCCTGTTAAACCTCATCTCTCCACTTCTGCTCAGAATACAATTGCTTTTTGCCTCATTGTAGCACAGTCATCAACCACTCCCCCACCTGCCTCCCCACATTAATGTCAGCATCTTTACTTTATCAATCTTTTCACTTTCTAGTCAAATTTCTTCCCTCCCTCTCTCTCTCCAAACCTGCTAAACCAGCGTTTCTCATAGCATGGCCCTCAGATCATCTGCGACAGGATTTCCTGTGATAATTTTCACAAATGCAGATTCCAGGGTCCCACTCCATACTAACTACATCAGATTGTTCGCGAGTTGTGCCTTGGAATCTGCATTTCACACACCACCAGGTAACTTGTCCACACGCTAAAGTTTAAGAACCAACCAAATCCTGCCCACTTTAGCCCTTGATGCTGCCCTCTCTTCCTTTTGCTGATGAACTCCTTACACGTGTGACACACATGGCCTCCACTTCCTCTGGTCTCCTGCTTTCCTAATTCCCCATAATTGCTTGCTCATTGAAAAATATTCTCTCTAAGGTCCCCAAAGGACAGTTTGAATTTACCTCTACTAGTACTATTTACTAATATTTTAAAAATAAGAGTCAGCACTTAGCTGTAAATAGAGGTGAGAGAGTTAAAACATAAGAACCTATTTTCTGCAAAGTTTCAGAAGATGATGCTATTTTAATCTTCCTTCATTTGTCAACTGAGTTTGAGTGAAAGAAGAAAGGCATCGCGTGGGTAAAGTAATGCAATTGAGAGGGGAAATGGGCAGATGAATACATCTAAAGCAACTTTTTCTAAATCAATACTACATTGTACAATATAAAATATAACTGCAATTCTGCAAATAAGATGGAAGATGGCCAAGATATTTGATGTTTTATAAAGACTAAATACTCACTACAGCAGGAATCATGCCTGATATTATTTCATCAGTTTATGGGGGATGCAATATACACACGAGAGATGCGTGGTCTCTGTTCTTACAGAACTTAGAACCTATTGAAAGCTACATTTAGAAATCAAACGTTGTGTATATCATGGGCTGCAGTAACAATTCTTCACACTGTCACACTAGTACACTGAGAAGATCTGATTGGATGAAAAAAGAATAAACAATGGTTATTCTACCAAGTTTAAAATCTTAGTGAAAATATAAAATGACACTTCCTGATTTATTTAGATTCTCTAATGACATTTTAAAAATGGATGTAGAATTAAATCAGGTTAAAGCTGTCCATTGAAGTGATGGTATTATTCATAATCATGAAATATGGTAAATAAACTGAATTTCCAACAAATATCATGAGTTAAATAACTTTAATAATATCCATGTGATGGAAAGACATGCAACCTTTAAAAAATATGTTTTGGGTAATTTTTAATAACATGGAAGAAATGCTCACAATATCAAGATAAGTGAAAAAACTCAAGGAAAAAAATTGTAAACTAAAATAAGTGTATACATATGTGCTTTTCAAAAAGAGCTAAATGGAAATAAGTCACAGTGGCTATTTCTGGATATTTGAATTCCGGGTTTTTCTTTATTTTCCTATTTTCTAATTTTTAATACTGAACATTTATTATTTATATAATCAGATATAAAAATATGCTTTTAAAGTTGGCTCGATATATTAATAATTCTATGGTCTTGAAAAAGGAAATTTTTCTGCCTCCAAGTAATATCTTTTTTTTCCTCAAGTAGTGTCTTTTAATCTGCAAAAAAATCTGCTCAGAGCATGCACACAAAGAAGACACACATTTGTCCTTTTACCTTCTCTTACCCTTGGGCAACGCAGTTGACTCCCTTGAATGTCATGTTGTTCTACTTCGAGCCAAGTGATGTACTTAAAAGAATCTGATGGAAGCTTTAAAATAAGAGAAAAGAGAAATATTATCTGGCAATATGGAATTCATTTGCTTTTATTTGTAAAAGTCATGCAAATCCATGCCAAATGTTCAGCGAAATTGAACTCCAAGTATCCAATGGTACGGTCATAGAAGCCATCTTAGTCCAATCTACATTATGTATTCTTATTCAAGTTTGCATCTCTCACATCGCAACTGATTTATTTTGATAGTAAATGACAGTGGAAATAAATGTATGGACCCATTCATGAAGCCACTTTATAACATTTCTTATGAAGTGTCCTTTAATATTTATTATCTCATGAGGAATTTCACTCCATGTTGGAACAGTTCTAATTGTTAAAGGCTCTTCAATATATGGGTCCCCAACCCTCCAACTTGCTCCAATTGTCAAAGTTTTGCCTTTTGAGTCTACCTGGAAGAATCCGTCCACGTGTGACTGCTAGTTTAAGCGTTCAATAACAGTTATCATCTCCTTCCTAAGTCATACAATTATTACTCACAGATCATGGTTTACAAATTATTAAATATCCGGGAAGAACATGTGGTTCTCCATGGGCAGAGTTCCAATTTATCGACATTACTCTTAAAATGTGTAGCCAGCATTGAATGAAATATTTCAGGTTGGGTCATCTTCCTTGTTCTGGACAGTGTATTACTGACCAGAATATGTGCCAAGATCATATTTAGGGCACTTCTATATTGTTTATTATTTATTGCAGTTATAGTCAATCAAAATTCCCAGTATCTTACATAGCGTAGGACAGTTTCAAAGTTAACACAAACAAAAAGGCATATTACTTGGAAAAGAGTATTATGTTAAATACACACATCATAGCTTCATTCTTCTGTTAGCCATGTTACACACATATACAAACAAACCCAGAATATTTGATTTGGAGAAATGTCATTAAAGTCTTTGGAACAATTGCATTTGCCTCACAGAGCAGCATTTAGCATCGCTTATTTTTTGCTTGAGCTGTAAATTTGTGTGACTAATACTAACATAAAAAATATTTCCACCGTTAAATAAGCTTTTGAAGCTCTGGATTAAACCAAGTTAAACATTTCTCTTTATTGCAGGACTTCTCAGAGCCTTTAATATACTAATTTATTTTGTGAGTCTATACTACAAGGTCTTCCCTTGGACTTTTAAACCATAAAAACTTTTATTCTTGGAGCAGTGTTTAGGACTGGTGCATCTTGCAAAGCAGAATTTGGAAAAAACTGCCTCAAAGTGAATTGGGAAGAGGTGGCTTTTTAATAATCCTTTAGTTTTGATCTTTTATCTTCTTTATTTATTCACCAAATGACCTTGGTTGTTCTGGTAAATATCTTAATATGTTCATTTAAAAAAAGAACTAGTAACAAAAGCGCTCTACCTCATTAACAGCAACACTAAAAAGGTAATTAATGCTTGAGTAATTCTTTGAGATAATCTGAGGATTTACTAACATGCTTTCAAGGAATTGACTCATTTTTTAGAACGAGGCTTTAAAAAACCAAGAAGTGCAAATATATTTTGATTATTGAGGAAAGTAGTCCCTGGCCTATTCTTGGTTTTTCAGTTTATAGGAGTATGGAAGCTTCTTTCTGAACTCGTTATGTGCTTTTGGAAATTTTTTTTCTGACTTCTATCACAGAATAAAACTTTCCTAGAAGTTAAATTCTCTAGAGTTGCCACACTCTATTGCCTTTTTGTGCTATTTTATGAGGCTGTTGTTGGGAAAAAAAAGAATGTAAGTTAAAGCTGTATTTGAGAAGAAACTTTCCATTTTCAGCTGACATCTAATTTTGTACAAAAACCAGTTTGTTTACTTTTTTAAGGAGTCATGTGGTTGATTTTGGGGTTTCTGACATTGTGGGAAAATGAGACATTGCGTTTGGTTACATTCATTTAAGGTTGTCAATGTGTTACAGTTGTGTGACTGTTGTTTCTTCTTAAAGGAATAGTGAATTATTTGTGTTTTACCCTGGTTTTTACCTTTTATAATTCTGATGGATCAATTGATTAATTCATTGCATCAGTAAATATTTTTGCAGCTAGTATGCTTCATTTCATTTCATTCATTTGTTTAAAAATATATATTATACACCTGCTATGTGTCAGGCACTCTGTCAGGCACTGGGGATGCAGAGTTAAATAAAATATGGCATTTGTGCTTGAAGAACTCATTTTCTATATTTTCTATAATTTGGGAGGCAGACATATGAATTTAACTCGCCTTGATCCAGTGAGATAAGGGGAACAATTGTGAATGAAGGTGTCAACTTAAAAAGCAAACTTGCCTGTTATTTTATCTCAAAACGAGTTTATTCAGGAATAGCCAAAAGAATTACAATTTGGGATGTGCATGCTATGGCAAATCACAGGCAAATCTGGAAAAGAAAGGTGGGGAGCTGCTTTTACAGAGAAAAAGGAGGTGTAGGGAGTAGCTGTTCTAAAGGAACACCCATTGGGGGAACACAGCAGTTGAGGGCGGCAGCAGCTTCTCATTGGCTGAGCTGCGCTGTTTCTCCCTGTCTGAGCTCTTGCCAGGTGGGGAGAGAAATCTTCCTTCAGTAGGAAAGTAGTTTTACTTCCTGTCTAAAATGGCAAGCATCCATCTTGTCCTGTTTGGTCTAACTGACCATGTGTGATAGGGCACGGGAGATGCCCCTGTGGGCCATCCTGACTCCACTTTAGTTCAGGTTTCTTTTATTAATTTCCACAAAGGAAAGGAGAAAAAAGGACATGTGATTCCAATTCAATGAATTAGATAAAAGTCTTGAAAGTGGTAAATTTGGGGGGAGATTATTTTATCTTCTGGACAAAGGACATTCCAGAAAGAAAGGAGATAAATCTTAGACTAGAGATGGAATTCGAACTCAGTGAGGGAAAGGAAGGGGTTTTTGATTTTGTGGTCATTATGTTTCTGTTCATCTCCTCATCTGTCTGCCTCCCTCCACCCTCGATTCTTTCCGTTTCCTCTCTGAGTTGGGTCTGAGTACCGACCTTTCCTTTACCCCCCAATTACAAGAGTAGATTGAAGAAGTTTAGACACTTATTAAAATGTGTTAAATATAAGAAAAAGCACATTTTATAAATTCATCATTAGATAAGGGGCTAATTAAAAATATTTACCAGGGATTGGGGGCGGGCCTCGTGGCCGAGTGGTTAAGTTCGCTAGCTCAGCTTTGGCGGCCCAGGGTTTCGCCAGTTCGAATCCTGGGCGCGGACATGGCGCAGCTCATCAGGCCGCTCTGAGGCGGCGTCCCACATAGCACAACCAGAGGCACTAACAACTAGAACATACAACTATGTACTGGGGGGCTTTGGGGAAAAGAAAAAAAAAATATTCACCAGGGATGATATTCCAGAATCCAAACGCGGATGGAATGTTCTGTTCCTCGACAGAGCCGACCTAGAGCGTGACTCACTCAGACCGGAACAGTATGATGAACTTGATGGACAGATCTTCTGACTGCCTGTGTTTTGACCTGAGGAGCTGTGTGAAAGAAAAATGCTTAACGTGTTTGTATATCTCTTTTAGTCTTTAAATGTAAGTATCTTTGTATAAAACAATAAAAACAAATTATAAGCACTAACTTTTCCATTTAGAGGAGAGATAAATGATACCCTAGGAATTTGCCTAAATCTCAGAAGAACTTTTTTTTTTTAAGATTTTTTTTATTTTTCTCCCCAAAACCCCCCGGTACATAGTTGTGTATTCTTCGTTGTGGGTTCTTCTAGTTGTGGCATGTGGGACGCTGCCTCAGCATGGTTTGATGAGCAGTGCCATGTCCGCGCCCAGGATTCGAACCAACGAAACACTGGGCCGCCTGCAGCGGAGCACGTGAACTTAACCACTCGGCCACGGGGCCAGCCCCTCAGAAGAACTTTTTACATGTTGTAGTCCTGTTCACGTTTTTACGGCTAATAGTAACATAAGACAAATTCTCCTCAAAGGTAAGGGTGTTTACGTAGACTTCACGTCTTAGAAACGTGAATCTCCTGGTACACACAAATACACACACACATGCTTTTGAGACATGAAGGAGGAGGTCAGCCCTCATGTTGGAATCTCATTCCTAGGGGAGCTGGCGCACAGGTTTGGCACAAACATCTTTCTCCAAACTCCCTGTTGGTCTCCTCATTAACCTGGGGCTTCAATTATCCCCCGAAATTTCCCCAAACCTCTTATATTTCCTCAAATTGCTGACAAGCAAATTAAAAAGTCAGGTTCTTTAATCAGTTTTACTCACTTTGAAATACGGCTCAGCCATTTCACTTAATAACAGTCCAGTTCTCTCTGTATTCCCATTTTCAGACCACTGAGATATAGAATGTCTTTTCTGCTCTCCTTATATTAATTCTCTGGTTTATTATTCATTGTTATTCACACACTTTTCCCTTTCTCCTCAGCAATGGTTATAAGTTTCTCTTTCTGTAATTGGTGCTGTATTTTAAGCCAATTTAAAAATAATATCTAAATATGCTTTTTCATGTTAAGTAAAACTAGAAATCATATCTCTCTTTATTTCTGGCCCCTTTTTTACTCTTGATAGATCATTTTTCAGGCTCCAAGAATCTTAAGAGACAACATTCTATATTTTATGGCATGGTTATTATGCATCTGTAGCAATTTTGCTTACAAGAAACCATACATCTCGTGAATATTGAGGTTGCCTTCACAAAGTACATATAGAGATGTCTTTCATTTTTCATTTATTAACTGAGTTGGTGCAGTAGAAAAGCATAGCCATCATACTATATTCTAGAAATACTATTACCATGCCATTAAAAAAATAAAACAACTATGCCCTATTATCAAGAAGAAAATTGTTCCTCCATCTGCCACTGAGTAAAAAATAAAGAATTTTGTCTTAATTATGTGAAAAAGTCAGAAAATATATACCTCTCATATCTTTCCTACTTGAGCAATTCTTTAATAGTTTGGATGCAGTTTCTTGAAATTACTGAAGAGTATCTTGCCATAGATACAAATTAACAAACATTAGAAGAACAACATTAAATTGTGTGAAATATATTATTCCTGAAACAGTTAAATCCTGGTATTTATTAGTGGAGTTTTGGTCAAGAATCAGGGAGAAAAAATTGGGGGAAAATGGAATATTGTATCAGTGGACAAACAGAGGATGAAAGTTTGACTGACTTTTTTGGTTCATTTGTCTTTATTAAAATCTGTTAGCCATTTTCGGCCAAAATGAAATCAGGAAAGTAAGGATAATGAACATGGCTGAAACTTTCTTCCGTGACTGGTGTTTTGTGATTCTAAACTGCAGTGATGGTTATGCAGTGAGAGGCTGAGTTATGGAAAACCTGGAAGTCTCCCGCTCTCTCATTTTTTAATCTAAAGTGTGAGAAATGGTCTTATTTTGCTTATGTGAACTCCCCAAAGCAGGGCACAGGGGAAAAAATAAGTTCACATAATTAAAAGCTCTGATCAGAAAGATCCAGTACATTGGGATTTTACTATACTCTTCTTGAGTATGCTGAGATTAAGCTGTCACTTCAGGGTGAAATTCAGTTTAAAAGTGACTGAAAATTATCTCATCATCTTAGTTTACATTGGATGATTTTTGGGTTTAAACTGGAAGACCCCATGGGGCCGGCCCAGTGGCGCAGCGGTTAAGTGTGCATGTTCCACTTCTCGGTGGCCTGGGGTTTGCCGGTTCGGATCCCGGGTGCAGACATGGCACTGCTTGGCGAAAGCTGTGCTGTGGTAGGCATCCCATGTATAAAGTAGAGGAAGATGGGCATGGATGTTAGCTCCAGGCCAGTCTTCCTCAGCAAAAATAGGAGGATTGGCAGTAGTTAGCTCAGGGCTAATCTTCCTCAAAACAAATAAATAAATAAATAAATAAACTGGAAGACCCCTTTATGCCATTACCCTGATTACTACTACACATTTATTAGTAATAGAAGGTAATTAAAACTTTGGCAACAGACGTGAATGGGCAGCCAACATCTTCACCATCTCTCTCCTGTCTTCCTGTTTCGTTTTTCTCCAGAATGAATAGAAGATTGGTCAAGAGTTGCAGCTATGTTTATCTGGGAAGATTCTAACCAGTAGATGATGAGTCCGATTGTCTTTCAGTGTGAAATCTTTTTGCAGGCCCGAAGTCTGGACTCCTCCCGATATTCTCACGTTACTGCTGGTGCAGTGGTGAAGGGCAGTGTGTGGGAATCTTGGGGTAAAAACCTTTGGGGCGCTCTCAAAATTTTCTGTGTTCTGTCACGTCTATCTTAAATTCCATATGGAATTTTTCTTCAGTCTGCTTGTTTGGGAGAAATATCAGCAAAATAAGATAATTTCTGATCCTTTCGTTTTAAAAAGAAAGTTAAAAAATAGGGCTTCTTCAAGGTTATGTAACTAAGCCAGCTCTGATTCCATCTATAACTGCCTTACTGTGCACATCACTGAGTCAACATCACAAGCCCTGTGCGTCCCAGGAGCCTGAGGACCAGCCATGGCTGTGACATCGGGCCGGGCACCGGGCATCTCTGACAGTCAGTTCCTTATCTTTAATGTCAGAAGATGCATGGACTCTGCCTGAGTGAGAGGGCTTCTTGTTTTTGTTTTGTAACATTACAGCTATGACGACAATTATTACTATTACTCATAGAATAATTTTATAGTTGACATTTATTGGGCGCTCGCTATGCACTAGGCACCGTACTGGGAGCTCTATGTGGATTAACTCATTTAATCACTACAATCACCTAGTAAAGTGGGTAACATTATTATTTTGATTTTATAGATGAGGAAACTGGGGCACAGAGAGGTGACATAACTCGCCAAAGCCACACAAGTCAATGACCAAGTGTGCTTAACCACTAGGATCGAAATCAGATTCAGATAAGCTACTGTGATTCTTTGAATAACTTAAGGCTGTATCATTATTAGAGTGCCGTTGTTATTAAGGAAAATCATTAATATTGATTTTTCTTATTCCAATTGCTCCACTTAACTACCTATAAATAATTGCACTATTAGTAAAACATGTAAATCTGATTTATTATTCACTGAAAACCAAAATTAAGCCTTCGCTAGTAGAACCTACGAGAACACTATCCCAGATAAAATCAAGATGTTTTTAAAATCCTCTCCTATCTCCCCTCCTGAAAAGAAAATAAAACCAGACACACGCAGTTTAGTTGGTATTTTGGTTTACTCATTTTTAATCTTTCTGCCTGCAGCGAACAGTTATCATAAATTACAAATCTAAACCCTTATGAAAGAGGAATTAATATTATTAATGCTCTAATATAAAGCTGCCACAGAGAAGGTGCCGTGGCTAAAACTGTACAGCGTTTGTTAGCAGTGATTTATAGTGTCTTTAAAATAGGTGGCATTATCTGAATTGGCCATCTTTTCTTGGTTTAAAAGAGTGTAGAATGGCCAACAAAAGGGATCAGGTGAGCTGAGACCACTGGATGAAAAACAGCAATAATATAACTTATCAATTCACGAGCACCTTTCATCACAAGACAGCAGTGTCCTTTACAATCACGAATTTGTAAGCCTCATAAATTGTCAGCTGCAACGGGTGCTGGCTGTTTAATTAAAATGTCAAGTTGGTGATTATGAAACTTTGTGAGGCGAGTGAAGGAGGAAGTGGCAGGTGGCCTAATTTCGGAGGTGCAGCTGAGCTCTTGAGTTGAAGGGGGCAATGTTGGGCTCACACCATCTGGAAGGCCAGGGGGTTCCTTCCAGACACCTGGGTTTGTTAAAATTCTATCGCATATGACTCGATTTCTAAACATTCCATTTATATTCAGTGCTGCATCACGAGAGCTTTGTATTTGGGAAAGAAGGAAGGAAGCTAAATCTCATTTTCCAGTTAGCAAAGGGCACTTTTCCCAAATCCTCAAATTCCCTTTCTCTCCCCCAGAAATATTGAACTAGACAATCAAGTCTTGTGGGATCTTGCTAAAACCAGGCATTTCTGAAGTACGGGCTAGAGGAAAATTACCATGGACTCTAGAGCATTAAACTTGGATGAAAGGAGATATCAATCCAGCCTCTTTGATTTCTTTGACCATTCTTCTTACTTTTTAAAATTCAGAATCCTTGTCCTCTCTATGCCTATATTTTATTCATTCGAAAAATGGAAATGATTGCGCTCTCTACATACTAGAGATGGTAATAAGATAATAGAAAGTACTTGGAATGGAATTCTCATAAAATCAGGAAGAAATTTAATAGTATAATGTGTGTTTCCGAAATGACCAATTAGGTATACTAGGTTTTAAAATTTCTCATGGCTCTATTTTAAGTTCCTGGAACTAAACCCATAAATTAAGTAAAGAATAATATACCAATAAACTGTAGGGGCAGGACACTTTTCCCTTCTTCCCTTCTAGGTTCTTTGGCTGGTCTAATAATAAAACTGACATAAAACATAATGAAAGGAGAAAAACAAATTTAATTTTGTATGTACAGGAGCAGATAAAAATATGGAACTCAAAGAAATGACCAAATCAAGCAGCTTTTATGCCTTTAAAACAAAGAAACAATACATTTGTGAAGAATTGACAAAACAAAGAAGTTTGAGCTTGGGGTAATAAATTAGTGAGGAAGTAACAAGATTTGTTTACACAGCCTTCTCTGCCCTAAATTCCCTCTCTCTGTGATAGGATACCTATACCCTCCTGGTACAGGGAGGGTAGCTTTCACGGGGAGATTTATTTCCTGTTTTCAGGGCGACAAAGGAGGCCAGAGTGTCCTTCTTGCATTGGCTGTTTCCTAAGTAACTTTAATTCAGAATAATCAATATGCCAAAGAGGCGTATTTTGGGGTGGCATATTCTGCTCCCTTTCAGAACTGTTCTGAAAAATTACGTGTTTTACAGATATTCCAAAAATATTCCAGTACCCAAAGCCTAGGATTTTAATAGATATATCCTAAATTATTTACAGTGTTGATTCTAAAACCATATAACAAGAAATTGTAATTTTGAAAAATGCACAACTGGAATTGTCATTTCTCTACTTCTAGCTGAATGAATCAGATTTTAATTCTTTGTGATGTTTTATTTTTATAAATTTTGCATGTCCCTGTTGCTCCAGCCCTATACACATTCTTACAAACACAACTCGCTCCCCAAATTAAGGTTCAACAAAATTAAAAGCCTGAGATACCTCTGTGTTCCCTGTACAGGATTATGTTTAGAAATTTTTAGAACTTTATTGTAACCACATATATAGCTGCTACTTAAGAAGGTTTTCAATACTTGAATGTTTTACTACTCCCTGTGTTGTTACAACTTTGAAAATTCAACCACATGCAACACTACAAGGGAGAAGAAAAATACGGACACTAAAAGATAACATGTGATAGGGGTCAATCTTGTGAATAGAGACAAAACCATAAGATCTCAAATGAACTTGACTGTGTATGAGGAAAGCAGTGTGAATAAGACTCTTGTTCATGACGTGCAGAAATGTGATTGAACAAATACTGGCACTAAGATAAATTTTTTTCTTTTCTTTCTTTCCCTTTTTTCCTTCCCTTCTTCCTTCTTTCTTCCTCCTTTTATCCTTCAAAATTTGAAGATCAAAGTTTAAGTTGTAGCCTGGGCATCACTTTTTACACGGTCTCTAACATAATTTTATAAAGATTTACTAGTCTAAAAATAATACTGATCATAAAGACCATTTTATAGAGAACTCACAAATAAACCTCCTTTTGGTAGAGTGTATTAAAGGATGTTAGCAAGTGGGGAAAAACGAAGTCTGTCATTCTTCACAGAACTTCTATGATTTAAAAACTATTGCTTCACATGCCCATTTCTCCAAATTATGACACCGTTTTTTATTAAATCAACATAATATCTAGACACCGCTTAAGATATACACAGTTTACCAAAAAAAGAGAACTTCTGTAATAGAACTTCTTCAGCCTCTAAACTCCTACATGATTCCTCTCTTAACCATAGGCAGTAAGTGGGAGTTATAAACAAGTTTCACACACTCATGAAACACAATGTATTTAATCTTGAAAGCTGAGGGTGCAAATCTCACTTTTTAAAAGATGAGAGCCAAGTTATACCCCAATATAAAGACAAAAAAAATCAAGAAACTTGCACACACTCTAATTGTATATCGTCTCATTATCAGTATGCTTTGAGAAACATTTATGAAACAACTGTGAAATTTAAGAGGGAGGAAACAAGGATTGGGTTTTGGCCTCATTTAATTTTTGGTTTTATTGAGCTACTAAAAGTCCTATTTTTGTGGAAGTAATTTCATTTAAACTTAACTAATAGATATTAACTAATATTAATGAACAACTAATAGATATTTCCTTTTGACTGCCTTGTCTATTTTTCCCCTGAAATTCTCACATGCTCTCTTAAAGAACCCTGTGCATCTAGAGACACCATCACTAAATCAGTAAGCCCATCTCTCTCTGTCACCACAATGATCAATTGCACTGTATTTGCAACTGGTTGCACGGTGTTGTGGGAGAGGGTGCCTGTTGATTCGCTTCTCTCCCAAAGCAACCACGTCAGTAACACAGGTTGCATGACTTTACATTTCTAAATGAAATTTAATCTGGTAACCCTATCTAAATTGGCTTGTTTTCTCTCAAGTAGTGACTAAGGTTACTTTTACCATTTTATTTTCTTACCTTTCAGACATGCCTTGCCCGTGCATAAAGTTCCTCTGGCCTTCAAAAAGCTATTTTTCTGAAGACATTTTTCGTCATGTTCCCGGGAGGGGATAGGAGAGCTGTCCACCAAGAATCTGCAGCCTCTTTTGGGGGACTTCCATGTATTCACCGTGACCAAGGAAACAAGCTGTTACCTAGCAACCTGGCCCTTTAGGAGGTATTGTTACCAATCTCTTAGAGCTCATCAAAGGAATTGCTGTGCTCCTGGAGCAGCGTAACAATGAACATTGTTTCCAAGGAATTGTCTAAACTGGTATAACTGAACCTTGACTATAGAAACACAAATGATAGCAGAGGGCCCAGACGTCTGCAGCATCCCTGAAGTTTGCTGTCTTCAGTTCCATTATTTCTTGAATCGCTTACATTTGGCTTGGGTTTAGTTGAAGTGGTATTTGTGCGATTTATCCCTCTGTATTTGGTTGCTTGCTCCTGTTCTATAGTTTCTGAACTAGCAGAAGGAGCAAAAGGGAAGTTATCTAATTCCTGCTTGAACTTTGCTCAAATAAAACTCCTTTGAATTGAAGACAGGGAATTCTACCTTGTTCAGCACAAGAAAGAAATAATAGATTTTTATTTCAAAGCAGATTTCTATAACTTTTCAAAGAAAAGGGAGAGAATGTCATATTATGTTGTATACTCATTCCAAGTCTGCTCGGGGTGCCTACTATGTACACAGGTAACACTGTCAATTTTTGATTTCACGAGCTGATAACACAAAAGGTCCTTAAACCTGTGACTTGCACATCACCTTTCTCCAAAATAGAAAAATGTTAGTTGTGTTTTTGAGGACTGAGAATTTGTTGTTTGCCAAAAGCACATAAACACTTCCATAGTCTTTACTGCTTCAGAGAACAAGACAATTGGGAAACCATTTTATTCAAACCCTCATTTCAAAATGAGATCTTTGGCATGTCTTGGAAAAAGCATCATGCTTACCTCTTCATTCCTTTTTTCCAAGCAGTCCATAGACTGACAAAGTTTCATTAACCTGATGAATGTGTTTCATATCAAAGGATTGAAAATGTGTCCTCCTCCACATTAAGTTTCTGTTAGAACTTCAATTTCACCTACAAAATACTTCACGTTGGAACTTAGCATAAAAACTTTCCATACTAAAAAACCATAATTTAATATATTTGATAAAGATCCACAAATTGATTTGTTTCTATCCAAGTTAGTATAATTTTAAAAAAACTATAACTACCTAAAAATATTACGTCTCAATTTTCTGGATATTTTCCCCATGATAGAGGCAAAGATGCCTCATGTCAGGCGTTTCTTTTACTCTTGTCTTTTCGAAGCATTCTCAGAATTTCCCCACGTCCAAATTGTAGACTAACATTATCAAAAATGAATGAGATAAGATAAATAAAGCACAACAGATCTTAATTCCTCTTTTTAGCTTATAGCCCATGACAACTACTTTACACCTCCACTGCCTCCGCCGAAAGCTGTGTAATCCTCCAGCAGTTCCATTCTGACTTTGCCAGGATCCTCACATCCAGTTTTTCCTCCAGTCTCCCAGGCGATTCTCATACCTTCTTCTCTCTTTTGTAACTTCCGTGGTCTCTGCGCCTGTCCTTACTCTCACCTGAGCAATCAGAAAAGAATTTCCACAGGGTACCATCATCCATTTATCCACCTACTCACGTCTACCTGTCCATTTGCTCTGCTTTTCCTTCATTAACAGGTATGACTTAATGACTCCATCTTCATTTGTGGACTGGATCCTCTCCCTTCATCTCTACTCAAGGCCATTGATCCAGAAATTCTTCTGTGTCATTAATTTCTCCTCATTGCTGAATCATTCCCATAAAGATATAAACATGCTGTAATTTTTCCCATTAAAAACAAAGACCAAAAAAATGTTCTTTGGTCCCCTTCTCCCTTCAGGTTCCATCCCATTGCTTTACAGCCATTACAGTGTGTGAAAAAAGCATTAAAAGGGTTGTCTATGCATCCAGTTCTCTTCTCAGTCTCTCTTAAACTGATTCGAGTAATGTTTTCACTCTACCATTCCACTGAAACTGCATTTGGCAAGGTTACTAACGACTTTCAAGTTACTAAATTCAATTGTCGGTTCTGGGCCCTCATTTCCTTGATCTGTCCGCTGCATTTGAAACACTGAGCTCCTCTCTCCTTCCTGAAGCACTCTCTTCATTTGGCTTCTAGGACTCCACACTCCACCAGTTTTCCTTCTACTTTATAATCTGTTTTGCTATTCCCTACTCATCACTCAATCTCCTAACAGTGGTGCGCCCAGAGCTCAGTCTTTAGACCTTTCTTTCTTAACTCACTCCATGAATGATCTCATCCAGTCTCATGGCTTTAAAAACCATCTATATGCTAATGACTCCAGGATTTATAACTCCATGCTACACCCCTCTCTGTCTCTTAAATCCAAGACTCATATATTCACCTGCCTGCTTGAAATTCCTCTAGGATGTTTTATAGTCATCTCAATCTTGATATTCCAAAAATCAACTTCTAAATCTTTTATCCTAACCAGGCCCTTTCATAGCCTCCATTTATTCCACCCAAAAATCACCAAATCATCCTCAATGACTCTCTTTTTCTCAAACGTCACATTCAATCCCAGATGAAATCCCTATAAGCTCTACTTCCAAAATATATTTAGAATCCAGCCACTTCTCACCCACTCCACAGCTACTGGCCAGGTAGAAGACCCCATATTTCTTAATACTATCATCATAACAGATGCTTTACTGGTCTCCTGCTTCACACCGTATCTCCCACATTCTGTCCTCAAACACAGCAACCGGAGTGATTCTGTTAATAAACAAGTCATTCTTCTGATCAAAACATTTCAGCGGTTACCCATCTCACAAAGGAAGGATCAGCATCCTTACAATGAACCACAAGGCACTGATGTATATGAAGGCAAAAAGAAGGTAATATCTCAAAATTGAAAGAACTTCTGAAATGTCCTCAATACAGTCAAGATTTCAATGACTAAATTTCTTTGACTAAAATCAGTTAAGGATAGCTAAGCAGTTGGTACATGCTGTTAGCAAATTCACTAAAATAATTCCTTCTACTTCTCTCTTAAGCTTCAGGATCAAGTTAAAATATGAAGTATCCCAAATTTGGAACATGAGCTATTAAAAAAATAAAAAGGCTACCATTTTCAAGTACTTCTCTGTGTGGTGGAGAATTTTCTCAATGTTGTGATAAAATCTAAAATTTATGGGTAGCTGAAGACAATGGCAGCAGCCTAGCTACCAGATCCTTAATACTTTCCCTAAAAACAATACAAAAGAAAAAGAAGGAAAAAGCATATCTGCACAAAAACCACATACTCCGCAGATCTTGAGAACAGAGACTAACAAAATTTCAAAACAGCTCTGAATAAAAATAAGTTGAGCACATCTCTCAGGTACCAGCCCCAGCCTCACCCCACAGCTGCACTTGAGGGCAGGCAAAGGCAGACCAAGAAAAATTGTGGGAAGGACAGAAGAGGGATGGAGACTAAAGCTGATCTAAAAGTATCCCCAGAAAGATTAAATCCAGTCTAAATCGAAAATACCGTGAAAGCGTTCAGGCAAATCAGAGCAGGGACTACAGGGAAAAGATTTCAAAGTATGCCAGATGCAAAAGCACAAGCGTGATGCAAAGGGGACATCTTTGAAACAGCTTCTGGGAGAGAAAAATGCAGAAAGGAAGTGAGAACTGCCCTTTGGCAGTTAGAACATGAAGAGGAAAAGGAGAGAAAGGGGAAATCTTAAGGTCTTGTAAAACAAAGTAGAACCACTAAATGGAAGGACTCACCAACCCTCCTGTGTTAGGCAGAACAGCGGCCCTCGAAAGATGTCCACATCCTGAAACCTGGAACCTGTAAATCTGTTATCTTACATGGCAAAGGGGAGGCGAGGCAGCTCATGGAATTAAGTCAGCGGACCTCAAGACAGGGAGGTTTTTCTGGATTATGCGGGTGGACCCAGTGTAATCACAAGCATACTTAAACACGTAAAAGAGAGGAAGCAGAGTCAGTGTCGGACTCGACCAGCCATTGCTGCTCTGTAGGTGGAAAGAGGCCACCAGCCAAGGAGTGCAGGCAGCCTCTCGAAACTAGAAAAGGCAAGAAAATGGGTTCTCCCTTAGAGCTTCTAGAAAGCAGCCCTGCAGACACCTTGATTTTAGCCCAGTGAGACCGATTTCTGACTTCCAACCTCCAAACCTGTAAGAGAATCAATGTGTTGTTTGAATCACTAAGTTTATGGCACTTTGTTAAAGCAGCAACAGGAAACTGCCACACCTCCCCACACCCCTCTGTCCACCATTAAACCAACAAAACAAAATCCGCTAAAGTGCCTAGACTTTACCAGACCGACAGAAGTGGATCAATAATCTAAGAATCTTGACAAACAACCCAATTCCACAAAAATGAATAAGAGTAAGCTCAACAAGTCCATACAAAGCTATTGCAAAAAATAAGTAAGTGAAATATCACACATATCTAAACAGAAACTCTGCTCCCAGGAAACAACCATGGAGGAGAAGACAACTGAAATTAAACACTCCAAACCTAATGAAATATACTCAAAACTGCATTTGAGGATATGTAGAACCAGCTTGAATCAGAAATTCAAAAACTGAAAAAGGAAATGGATGAAAAACATGGAGAAATGTAAAAAGAACTGATTGACTTCAGGAAAGAAATGGAATGAAAAGACAAAACTATCTTTTAAATGAAGAACATGTTGTGAAGTACTTAAGGGAGAATAGCCTCAAATGAAAATTACCAAGTGAAAAATTAGAAACTTATGGTAGAGAATAATAAATTATTAAAAATGGTAAATTTACAGCATCTGTCAGACCACACCTTAACCATGTGATCCAGGTTCACATCACTAATAATATGGCATGTTGACATTATGTACCCTGATATAATGTGCTGAGACAGGTACACCTTCACTCCTATTGGATTCTTACCAAAATTGCCTAGTCTTGCTCTGATCATGAGTAAATATCAGACACACTCAAAACTGAGGTTCAGTCTACAAGTAACTCACCAGTATTCTTCAAAAGCCAAAAAGTCATAAAGGACAAGAGAAGACTGAAGAACTGCCACAGATTGGAGGACAACTAAATGCAGCAAGGGATCCTGGAAAGAAAAAAGGATATTATTGAAAATTTGTTGAAATTCCAGTAAGTCTGTCGTTTATCTAATTATATTGTACCACCATTTATTTCTTGGCTTTGATCATTGTACTATGGTTATGGAAGATGTTGACAGCGGGGCAGGTGGTGAGGGAAATGCAGGAACTCTGTACTATTTTTGCAACTTTTCCATAAGTCTAAAGTTATTTTATCATGGAACATAACACAGAGTTAAAAAAATTGTCTTACACATATATGGTCAATTGGTTTTCCATGTAGGTCCAAATGTATTTTGGAGGAAAAAGGTAGACTTTTCAACAATTGGATAGCCATATCCCCTGCTCTTTCCCCCTGCTCAGTGAGCTTTGATTCATAGCATGCGTTATATACAAAAATTAAATCAAAAGG